GACCGTGTATGGTTGCCTTTTGGTGCCACTATATGCCACTCCGCCTCCTTCCTCCTCCTGCACCTCCTTCTGTCCCGCCCATGGGTTGCTCCCCTTTGTTGGCCTCTCGACATAGTACTGCTCCGTCACCTCCTCCTCCTCCTCCGGCACCTTGTCCCGCTTTGGTCGCCGCTCACATAATTTGTCATGTGAAAAATTACTAAAGTTACAAGATCTGCACTTTTATTTCCATGTAAGCGGCATGGCATCCACGTCCACTTCCACGCAGTGGAGATGCAGCAGCAACAGCAGCAGCAGCAAGAGGCAGCGCGTGTGGCAAGCAGCAGCATGCGTGTGTGCCCCTCTGGCTGTTTTGCTATTTTTCTTTTCTTTTCGTATTTTTTGTGTTTTATTTTTTTTTTATTTTTTTTTTTCGTTACTATTTTGCACATTTTTTCTATTCAACAATGAAGCCACAATAGAAAACGTCAACTAGTGCAGGGAGAGAGAAGAGACACAAGAGAGAGAGAGAGAGAGAGAGAGAGAGCAGAAAGAAAGGACAGAAAGGGATGGCATCATATGCAAATGTAATGCAGAAGAAGCGAGAGGGCAACACTTGTGATGTGCATACAAAAGTCTGAACGGATTTTGAATGGCAAACAAGCGGCAAAGCGAACGTCAGCAGTGGCAGTGGCAGAGAATGAGGCAGCAGCAGCAACAGCAGCAGCAACAGCAGCAGCGACAGCGGCGGGCGTCAAGCACAAAGCCAAAACCTCGCTGAACGGAGCCCGAGACCTGGTCCGGGTCTGGGTACGGGCACGAGTACGGGACAGGCACTGGGACAGGCACTGGGACAGGCACTGGGACAGGGACAGGGCACATGGGCCCGGTGAATGGGGCGATGGATGACGACTTGCGCATGAATGGCCCAAGAGTGCTGCTGCTGCTGCTGCCCTCCCATAGGGGAAAGGGGCAGGGGCGTATAGAAAGGGGGGAACGGGTACTGGATAGACAGACGAAGGCCTATAGAAAAGTGACGTGCTCTTTACAATTATTTCGTAATGCAAGCAAATGTGACCGAGCAGCAGAGTAGCAGAGCTGTGTAGACCAAACCACACCCCACACCCCACCCCTCAGCCGCCACGGTTAGCCGAGCCACAGAGAAGCAGCGGCCATAGAGAAGCATACGATAAAAGATACACTCGACAAAAAGATACAAAACTGCAAAAGAACTGGAATAAATTGATAGATAGAGATTGATTAGTGGCAGAAATCATTCAATAAAATGGGGCAGATCGAAGTAGAAGATCGAAGAAATGCTGGATAAAAATTATCACGGATTGAAGGATAATTCCCCATGGTTCCTGTCTGGATAAGCAGTTCCACATATCTCTAGGCTCTGCCATCTGCTCTCTGCTATCTGCTCTCTCACTATGCTGAAGGATCTGTGTATAGGGATTTGTTTCTGCAAGTGCAGATTAGAGTTTGGTGGCAGAGGCATGGAATTATCGTAGGCGGGGGTGGGTGGTTGGCAGGCAGCATCTTCTTTCCACGCCGCACCCCGCTATCAACGCCCACACGCTCGTGGCTTAGGCAGTGGGTGACAAATGCCAGTCTCTTCGGTGGTTGCACTACTAATCGGACATGTTGCGTTGACTTGTTTATGACTCGTAAGCTTAGTGCAACCGCCCCAACCTCAAACCACTCCCCAATCACTCCCTTGCCCCCCCACTCTAAACCACACTCAAGCCACACACACACACATGTGGGAGGAAGGATTGTCTGTGTCTGTGTAGGTGGGGGACTTGTGGGAAATCTGTAAATAGCTGCGAAAACTGTAGTATAAGCCGGCAATGCCATGCCCCAAAGGGAAGATATACCAAAAGAGGGGCGGGTGCCAGGAGAGGCGGTAGTGGCGGGAGTGGCAGGAGAGGCAGGAGAAGCAGGAGATATGTTGTAAAAGACAAAAGGCAAATGTCATCAAAGCTCTCTGTGGTGGCACCCGCGGGATTATGGAATGGAACTATGAATGGGGAATGGGAAATGGGGAGACACACACCACCCAATGGGAATCCCAAAGAACCCAAAGGAAGCGATAATCGTACGAGGTAGCAGACACCACTGCGTATGCGTAATCTTTTGCAATTTCTACAACAATTTTCCAAAACAGGGAAAAAAACCCAAACGAAACGAAACGAAACGACGAACGGAATGAATATCTCTCTCTTTAAATAGTATTCAGCGTTGACTTTGACACTTTTTCCCTCTCTGCCCCCCCCACCCGTACATACAGCCCACAACCATTCCTGCCACCCCAATCTGTTTTGTATTTTTTTTTTTTTTTTTTTGCAAAATTACGCGTCACACAGCTGGACGCTGAACGTTGCACTGCTGGTGGTGGCTGGGGGGCACAGGGTGGGAGCTTTCGTACTGATTGCCAGTGTGGGACAAGGTCGCGCGCATTATTTGGTGCACTCGCAAATGGCTGGCCAGGGTGGTGTGTGCGGGTGTGCGGGGGGGCATGGGGCCATTGGGCAGAGAAGTGCGTTCGAAGGTCACCTGCGGTGCACAGCCCAATGGGACATCGGCACCCCCCCATAGACAATGCTGCAAGGCAACAGCAGCAGAGAATTATCTTGAAATGAATACAAATATTTGTGGATCAGTCAGCATCAGAAAGGGGGGCACATAGCGCGGACTGGCCGAAGGGGGGGTAGGGTTGACAAATTGAAAATCAAATGCTGATGAATGATGAGATCTCTCGAACAAAAACAACAACAAATATGTGATAATATGCCGAAATATGGGAAGAAAAATATAATGAAAAGCGAGCGAATCGATGAAAAACTTCAAGAGCCACTGGGCTGATGATGAATGAGACTGAAATTTGGTTAAAAAAAAAAAGAAATACAGAAAAATGTTCAAAGAATTTTCACCATATTTTCGTTGATATTTTTGACCATATTTTTCCCTACCCGCGCACCGCATGTCTTCTCGTATCTGTTTTTTTAGTTTTTGCCGATATCTCTGCTTTTCCATGAAGATTGATTATTTTGCATGGGGAAAATTCAGAGAGTTGAGAGTTCCCCCCCTCCAAGGAGAACTCGTATCGAGAACAGTTGGAAAATCGCTTTGAAAATGGCTAGGAAAATACCAAAACATTGATTAATGACAAATTGTTTGCCAGAGTCAAAGTTTTTTTCTACCTTTTCCAACAAAAAAAAAACAAAAAAAATACTTGCATTGCTAGGCCTATTTTCATGAAGGGGTGGGGGGGGGGGTTGGGAGTGGGTATTTGCAGTGCCGTTACTTTGTGTGCCTTACCCCCAACCCTTCTTACCCACTGTCCCCAACCATTTTCCAGCTGCTTTTCCTGCTTTTCTTGTTGTTGTTGTTGTTGGACGCTTCTTCCGTTCTTTGGTTTAGTTTTTCTTTTTAGCTTACTTTAGTCTTTTGTTGGTGCTACTGCCACTGCCGCTGCTGCTGTTGCAGCTCTTGTTGTTGCACATTTTATTAACATTTTCATTTAGTTGTAGCTCTGTCTCTCTCTCTCGCGCTCTTTCCCTGTGGCATTCCCTCGCTGTTTTTGCTGCCTTGTTTTATTTTGCTTTTCATTGCAATTTGTGTTTCTATGCATTTTTGTGTGTGTGTTTTACATTCGTTTTTCGTGTCGCCAGCCAACATTTGCCTGCTCTCGCAGTGCATTTTGTTTGCCACACCCCCCGCCCACTAGTGCCTACCTCCTACTCCCAACATCAGCCGCTGCAGCGCCCTGCTGCACTCCTCCAGCCACTAACACTGGGCTGGTCCACTTCCACTGCCACTTCCCTTTGCTGCCACCGTTTCGTTGTATGTTGTATGCCACTGCCACTGTTGCGCTCTTTTGCAGTTTGTTGAAGTTTTCATAATCATTGTCGTCGTCGTCGGCGTCGTCGTTGTTACTGCAGCCGCTACCGCTGCCGCCTACTTTCGTTTCGGGCACAGAGCCTTTGCCTTTTGTTTTCCCCCATACTCTTTTTTTTTGTTTACCCTTTGAAGGGAAAGTCCCATAGTTTCTGAAGTCGAGTTTGTCAGAGGAAAAAGGAGTCTTGGAACTGTTGTGCATTGGCCTAATGGAGAGCTTTGATTTTTGTTTTATTAAATGGTATTTTGTACACAGAATTTCGTAGCTTTAAAGGTTTTAGGGGATTAGACGATTGGAAGATTCAGTGGCGTTTTCTCGCTAATGCTATATCAAAATAAAATATAAAATAAAATAATTAGCATGGAAAATATTTCTTGGAAAATTTATTTGAAACCAAAGGAAGCTCTGAACAATTTCTACTTCTGATGTTGCCCCATAAAACAATTTCGAGCGTAGGTTTTGCCTAAAATATGCAATTAAACTATCCATTTTTTAATTACACAAATTTCAATCATGAGAATTTTATCTTCCAAATAATAAATACACTCAAATAATGATATTTTCTTTAAATTCGTTCTCTAATTTAAAGAGAGAGAGCATCAAATGCGTCGCACAAAATCAAAGACAACAAATGTTGCATCTTTATTTTTCTTTTGTTGCATAAGCCATGGGTCTGGGTCTAGACGGGCAAAGGGTGGTTGGGATTGGGGTTGGGGTTGGGGAACCTGTGGGAGAGTGAGTGGGTGAGATTTTTGTTCCAGCCTGCAAAAAAACAATGCCCGGGAAAAGCGGCTTATTTTCTATGATTTAAATAATGATGAAGACAACGGAGACAACAGACATCATCATCATGATCAAGATGAGCAAGTGCAACGCTGTCACAATGCCACAATGGTGCCACAACAGACGCGACACACACCGCTGGAAGACTTCTTTCCTTGTGCCTCCGCCAACTTGGACATTGGCTCGGGCATTGATAACAAATCTTTTTCTATTTCTGTCACTTACGTACAATGTGTGGCCATAACATTTATCTAATTTCTTGCCGCTGCTGCTGTTGCACATTTGCCTAAAGTATCTTTTATCATCTGCCTTCTCTCTCTCTCTTTCGTTGCAGCAAAATGTTCATTGGCGGCCTCAGTTGGCAGACGAGTCCAGGTAAGCCACTCACTCTTTTTTCGTTGTTGTTACTTTAACTGAAAGTTAACTGACAATTAGCTGGCGGCTGCTATAATTTGTGGCGTGGATTTCATTCAAAAGGGGGTCGTCACTATTAACATCTGTGATGCTCTTTCTCACTCCTTTGCTAATAAGAGACCCAGGAAATTGCCGTAAAAATCACTAGAAATAACTAAATAAAAGAAACTAAAAGAAAATATGAGAAAAAATAAGATAAAAGACCTTCTCAAAGGTTTTCTAGTTGGTTCCTTGTGCTTAAACATTATTTTGCTTAATTTCTGAAATGTAAAATGATATATCTAGAGACAGATCTATATAGTTTTCGCTCAGATCACATGGAAACAGCAGCTCTGCCACACAGACCTTCCCAAGGTTTTTCCCTCCCTCTTTCTCTCTCTCGTTGTCTCGTTGCTATAGCTGTGAAGCGGGTTAATCAATTCTCTCCCTCATTCACACACAACTCGGTGGGGGCAGCAGGGGGAATGTATCTGCTTGGCGTACATCTAACTGAATATTGTATCTCAATTTGAATTGCCATACGAATTGATTCCCGTTTTTCATCAGTTTTTGGCTTCGTTTGCTGTGTGTTTGCTGTTCTGTGTGATTTCTCATTGAGAAAACAATGAAGCAAGAAATGGGTGAGAGAAGCAGGAGAAGCAGTAGGAGAGCAGGAGAAGCAGTAGAAGCAGGAGATGGGGTGAGGGCACATGCAGGGGGTTTTTTTGCCTTTAAATTGAAATTGTAATTGATCAAATGCTTGAGATTTGTTCCCTTTTTTTTTTTTGTTTGGTTTGGTTTGTGTTCAATTGTGTAGGCCTGGAAGATACAAAGATACACAGCGACACAGCGAGATGCAAATGGGGGCACAGCGGAGTGAGGTATGCATGCAGATATATGGGGTAGTGGGGGGTGAGTGAGTGCTGAGGAGGGGCTGCTCTCTGCCGCATAGTTTCATTAGGCTAATCAAAAGGCAAGAGCCCAAACACAGCGCCCAAGCATTCATATTAACCAAATTTTGGATGGCACTCCAGCAGGGAACAGAGAAGATACAACAACAAAAAGAAATAAAGAAAAAAAAACGGAAAATGGAAAGATATATATGTATCTGTATCTGTGCGAAGGGCAGAGATTGCAACAGTCGTCTGGCAAGATGCGCTTGCCTTTTGGGAGCCCTTAGAGCTGAGCCCTTAGAGCCGACGCCAACACACATCTGCAGTGCACACACACACATAAACACACGCAATACAGATACAGATACATAGATACGTTCGCTTTGTGTTGTTGCTGCTGCCGCTGGCGTTGGCGTTGGGGTCGAGCGCGCTTGTGTTTTTGTTTAGCGAATTTGTTGGCTCCGCCCATCATCAGAGTGCCACACTCGCGTCGTTCTGTCTGTCCGGGGCATTACGCTAACATATTATAAGCTATAGCGCATATCTACACACACACACACACACACTCACAGCTACAGATACAATCACACATATGCGGCAGCAATAGTTGAAGAGTCAATGCGGTCTTTGGGTTTGTCTCTTTTTTTTCTCAGGTTTTTTTTTTTTTTGTTAGTAGGTCTATGGCGGGAGAACAGGGGGGCTGTAGCGGGAGATGGAGGTTTTCCTGTACCTGTGCCAAAAAATTTTCAAATTTTCAAATGGCTTCTTCAATACCAACCCCTCCTCCCACGTACCCCTCGTCCCATTGTCGAATGTTGTGTGTTTTTGCCTTCTCTTGCTTCTCCTCTCTCTCTCTCTCACTCTCTCTCCCACTGTGGCTCTCCCTCTCGCTCTCTGTGTGTCTCACTTTTGTTATCTTTTGGCCATTTTTCGGACATGTGTGTGTGTTTGTGTGTCTTAGATATGTTTTTTTTTTAATTTTTATTTTTGCTCTTGGCAGCCGCCTTTTGGTCCTCCCAATGGAGCTCTGCCTGGTAAATTAGCCCCAAAAAAACACCCACACACACACACACGTCAGAAAAGCCTGCAGAAAAACCCGCAAACGATGGGCGTAAAAAAGTGTCTCTTTTTCTCTGTCTCTGTCTCTATCTCTGGCGGGAGGAGAGTCTCCTACGAGACATGGCCAAGAAGTCAATTGGCATGGAATGGAAATCGCTGGCTCTGGCGGGGTCAATGAGTGGCACGTGCACGGGGTGGGTGGAGGGGCGTATCGGTTATCAATTGGTAATTTAAATAATGACCCAAAAAATTGCTAGACAATGGAGTTGATTGACCCAAAAACCTGGGAAAAACAACAGTACACATTCACAGAGGAAATGGCTCTATGAATGCCAAATATCCAGCTATAGAAACACCCATACATCCATACATACATGTATGTACGTATCGGCTTAGGATTGTTAATAATATATTTGGGTTTGAAAACTGTTTTCGAAGGCGTTTGCCCCACCTACTTGGGGGGTTTCTATGCCAGAATTTGGTTTCCCTTTGTCTCCACTGATGTGGAAATAGTCAGAAAAATAGTGGAAATCGGGCGGCGAAAAATATAATCAAACAATTGCAGCAGAATAAGAAATTAAAACTGAAAGTTAATTATTAATGAATCGGTTAGGCAACGGCTATGAACCGATTCTTTTAGAATTAACTGACGATTCACGACAGACCCGAAAACAATTCAATTAGCTAACATTTGGGACTCAAAGAAGACCCAAAGTCCGAGCCTCAGACATCTCTCTGCTGCTGCTGCTGCTGCTGCTGCTGCTGTGTCTTGTCTTTGATATCGTTGCACCCCCCCACGTGGTGGTGGGTTGGGGGGGGATTTGGCTTTTGTGGCAGGTCCGTGCACTGCAGTTGTAGTTGTTGTTCCTCTTGCCTCTTGCGTTCCAAGTCTCTCTCTCTCTCCCTCTCCCTTTTACGCTTGTGTCCTGTTCTGCCATTGAAGGCGCACTGGCACTGGCACTGGTGGCAGAGGCCGGAACAGTCGGTGCAGTCGGTGCTGTGCCTGCCTCAAGTGGGCCTGCTTCCACTCGCGCCAAAAGCTTATGCTTTGGATTTTTCGCAGCTATCGCCACTCGAGCACACAGTTGCACCCAAAAGCAACCACACGCGAGGCATATGGCATATGGCATGAGGAATGAGGAATATGCCTCCTCTCCTCCTCCTCCGCTACAGTACACACTCGAAATTTGCTGACAAAGACCTAATCTAGGGCGTCTATAAACATGCGCATGGGATGGGCTGGAGTGGGCTGTGCTGTGCTGTGCTGGGGGCTAACAACATAGTTAGAGGCTGCTTTAGACAGGTCGACGACGGCAGCAGCAGCAGAGGCAGCAGAGGCAACAGAGGCAACAGAGGCAGCCAGAGTCTGTGGAACGTGTTGATAACTGCAGAAGATGTAAAGGAAAAGCATCCGCATTGCAGCCTCAGCTTCTTAGCCACTCATGAAAGCGTTTGACTCTAGCTTGTGCCCCCGAAAGATTTTTAATGATTGGCACGATTGTCTTGCAGCTACTTAATGATGTTCTTAGGTGCCACCCACCCAACCATCCATCGCTCTTGTTGGCTGGCTGTGCCTCTTGCCTCGTTTTGTCGTGTCAACTACCATGTCACGTCATCTCATCTATAACTTAATGAACTTTTGCCAGAAGCGGGCAGCCCCCTGCTACACTGCTTCTTCGAGCTCCCTCTCTTCCTCTCTCTCTGTCTCTCTCTCTCCCTCTCTCTCTCTCGTTCGTTCGTAATTTAATTTTAATTTCGCAAGCAGTTTGCTGGAAATAATTGTATGTGCATTGACGGAATATACGTACGTATTTGCGCTGCTATCGCCGGGAAACACTCGTTACGGCAGCTCAGAACTCTGACGCTTGACGCTGACGCTGACTCAGACTTTTGGGGCTACGGATTTGTGGATTCAAAATAGAGTTCGCTCTCTCTCTGTCTCTGTCTCTCTCTGCCACATTCAGTGAATTGAAAAGGCCGCTGGGGCTGGGCTTTTGTCTTAACGCCAGACGCGGGTGCGACTCGACTCGACTCGACTGCTGCTGGCTACCTCTTGCTGCTGCTGTCGTCTCTGATTTTGTGTCAATTTTAACAACATTTTTCGTAATACAATACGAAACGGTTGCCCCTCCTCTCTGTTTTGCTTCTGCTATTTTGGATGTGCGTTCAACTGAAATACTATTTATATATGCACTAAAGATACAGACACAGATACTCTCTGTATCTGTATCCGCAGCACATTTGCATCTGCAAGAACAACAGCGAAGGAGATGCCCCATTACTCATGCAACAAATAACCAAATCAAAAACAAAAAAAAGCAGAGAAGGAAAAGTCAATTGAAAGAAACGAAACGAAACGGTGGAAATCTATGCACATCCATCCATCCATCTATCGTATCGTAATGTAACCTGAGATACGGATACGGAATATATCCGAATATACTTTGGGCAAATAAATATGCATTTGCTCTCCACGCTCGCCTTTTATTATTATTACTGTTTTTACTGTTTTCTTTTTGGTGTTGTTTGTGTGCTTTTTTTTTGTTTTTTTGTTTGTTTTTTTGTTTGTTTGTTTGTTTGTTTGTCAGCTTCAGTGTCATGCAAATGAAAATGAAGCCCACCCAGCCTTTCAAGGAAAACTCTCTCTCTCTCTCTCTCTCTCCCTCTAGCTGCCACGGATGCCTCCGCTTTTGTGTTTGCATCTGGCATTATGACCGTGTGCATGCATATCTGGGGGCTTATATACCTCTGCACCACCACCCCACCCCAACCCGCCTTCAAATCCTTCACTTTTTGCCCTTTGACGCCGCCGAAATTGTCCAGGTAAAGTCAATAGATGATGGTCCTGAAAAGAGTTCCAAAGGCTTGCAAATGCAAACAGAGTTGGGTCCTGTGGGTGTGGGTGCACATTTCGAGACTCAATTGAGATGCTGTTGAAAGATGCTGCTTGAACGGTTTATGCAGCACGAAGCGAGTGTTTGCCTATTAGATCACTAAAAAATACAAGAAAATGCGCTGCTGGGGGGGGGC